AAGAAACATGAATTATAAACCGAAGTCTCAGTAAATAAATTTGTGACATATCAATAAAGGTATAATTATTGAAAATATAGACTAAGTGTATACTAAGCCACATATAAATAATAAATTAAATGTATCAGTGAARCTTAGTCTAATTTAGGTCATCTGATGAGTTGGAAATAAAAAGACAGTTTTTAACAGTAAATCTGTAAAATATATTAGCACACAATCAAAAACTAAGTTCAATACACACGAAAATAAAAGCTTGTGTAATGAAATATAATTATAATTTAATGGTCACAGTCATAAAATCAAAACAACCTTAACTTAAATAATATAGATAAATTGCATTTTCAATAAATTAATARMAAGAGAGACAATGTTGAATTGTTGAATAATATAATATCATAGTTACATAATGTGACTAAAACTAATTATTAAATAATTAAAAATAACTCTCAAGACAAATAATTGTACAATGTATAATCTATTAATAATGTAATCAACAATTTTTAAAAATAAATAAAATAATAAATATTATGAATAAGTTGATGAAAAAAAATAACTATAAAATATTATTGTAATTTCTAAGCCTAAAACGTAAAATCATATCACCAAACATTTATTTTTAAGTTGTAAAGTGTTTATATTAATCGACTTAATAATTTAAAATATTTAATTTTGAAAATTAAATATTAATCATGATACCTACAATGTACTTATAATTTGTTTTAAAATCGATCAATACAATTTATACAAAAAAAAAAAGACAAGACACATATAAAGGTGAAACCAATACTCTGATGTTAATTTTTCTTATTTTTATACCATGAATAATGATATTATCTAAAATGTATAAAAGATAAAGTTACAAGAAACAAAGAAACAAAATTCGCCAAGAAAAAAAGTTATATTTTGGACAAATAAGTATATTTTTTTAAATTTAAAACTTGCAAATTGGATGATTTTTTGAAGTAAAACATTTATTTATTTGTCTATTCTTTTTTAAAYGGATCAACATAAGGTTGTATATTGAAAATGTTCATTAAAAATTTAACTGTATATCAAAATATTATTAATGATAAAATAAACATTTACTACAATCTCTCAAAAGTAATTTTAGTAAGGTTCAGTT